CTTTGAAGTTACACCAATTCCTTCAAAGAATGGAGGCAAAATTGGTTTTCCCGTCCGTGAGCTTCGAGTGAGTGTGTCTCTTTGTTCTTTCCGACCGCGAATCGCATGGAAGGAGCCAGTTCAGCCCCGAAAGCTCCCTGCTCTCCCTGACCCTCCTCTGAGCAGTCCTCTCTTTCTCCCACCCCGTCCGGCGCCCACCGTCCGACCTCCCCACCGACTCTGAGCCGGGCTTTCCGCGACCCGGCGGCCGGCACGGCGACCTCAAATGCGGCCATTTGCATTGGCTGATGGCCATGCATACATGCATGTGTGCCGCCGAGCCGCTGGTCATGGTGTCAACGCCGCGCCGCCGGTCTGAGCGGGTTCTCCTGGCGACCCGCGGCGGCGGCATTACTGCTCACATGGGCCAGTGAACGTCCCTCAGGTCACTGCAGCGCCGGCGGACATAGCGGCGGGTCGGTGAGAGGACCATTGTGGTCTTGGCGTGGTTCGACTGACCGTCGGTATACTCGACCCGTCTGTCCACTGTCCACCTGGGCCGGCCGGTCAGGCTCCCGGCTCCCTGTCGGCGGCGGCGGTCCGCCCGGCCTTGGTGCGCTGCCGCCGCTCAGCTGACGCGGCCGGCGGGAGCATCAGCCGCGCTACCTGCCGCCGCGCCGTCCGTGTAGCCGTGCACCCGGCGCGCCGGCCGCCGCCGCCGCCGGCCCGGCCCTGGGCGGCGCCGCTGGCTGAACCGGCTCCCGGCGGCAGCAACCTGTTGCACATGATGCCGCTCGGACATGGCCGACCGGCTGCCGGCGGCGGAGGGCCGGGCGGGCGGGCCCCGGTGGACGCTCCTGCCCGGCTGACCGGTCGGCCGGGCGGTCTGTCCCTCCGCCGGCCGGCGTCCATCGAGGCAGCGTCCGCGGCCGGCGACTGCTCAGGAATGCGCCGCCGGCGCTGGGCCCGTCCCTTTGTGCGGCACTTTAAACCGCCTCCGTGGGCTGGCGTGCGCCACTGCCTGGTGAAAGTAGCCGAGAGGCGGCCCCCTGGAGAGCGCTGGTCGACCCCGGGAGGGTAGACAGACCCCGGCGGGACGGTCCCGGTACACAGGGGTGAGCGCAGACCGGCCGGTGACCACCCATCGCCACCCCAGCCGCTCGAAGTCGGCCGGCGCGCGGCCCTCGGTAGGAGCGGGCCGGCCGCGCGCAGGTGTCGCACGCCGGCGTCGCCCCAGCGACACGGCGCCGATCAGCTCATCTAGGAATCTGGTTTTCCCGCTGAGACACCTGTCCACCGGCGGACGGCAGCGCTCACTGTGCACAATGCACTGTAAACTGAGCGGCTGTGCAGTATCCACTGTGCACCCGCCAGTCGGCTGATCGGCGGAGCTGGACGGTTCACGGTGCAGTCAGGTGGATGAACCCCGTGCTGTTATCAACCTAGACACCCATATATGGCTGCCTTATCAGTTACTCCCATATATGTCATTAATTATTTATTCAGAAGGAGATCTCGAGGTGACAGTGCAACTTGCTGCTCATGTCCGCAGCATCGCCGCCCGTTTTAGCCCGCAGCGTATAAGGCTGGACACAGGAATCTACCTGCTGCCTTATTTTGTCACGAATGAGGAATTTATTGTAGTTTAACATGAACAAATCATGGCCATATCCCTACCCCGCAGCACCTTTTCCGGTATGGAATCCAGCCCATGCCCTTCCTTTCCTTCTGACACGCAATTAATTGCCGGTTGTACGAGCAAAAAGGTGACTATCTGGCTATCGCGCGTTCCTGACTGGCCAATCATGATGTGATGTCCTGCACGGGGGAGGGGGCTGTAAACAGGCGGCCGCAGAGGTGCTGGGGCAGTGTTTATAGCAGGTCTGATCGAGTCCGGCCCGGACGGCGTCCACCGGCGCCTGCAGAAACACCCCGGAGGGGGTTAGGGTGCAGAGGACCGAATCAAGCCTATACAGCGTCTGGAGTGGTGGCCCGCTGCCTGACAACACAAGAGTGACGTGATCACTTCGGACTGTGTCGGGTATACATACACAGCGGTCGGCGACGCAGGGCGAGGCGAGGACGGAAGGGGTGGGGCTCGGGCAGACTCATGACTCTCCCCGCCGCCGCGGGCTATGACAGAGGGGAGGGCGGGGCTGAGCTCATGACTCCCCCGCCGCCGCGGGCTGTGGCAGAGGGGGGGGGGGCGAGCTCATGACTCCCTCGTCGGCGGCCGGTGCCAGGTGACCGTCTGACCCTGGCCCCGATGGCCGGCCGTCAGACGGTCTCCGTTCGCCGACAGGCGGTGACGCCGCGACCACAGGTGGGCGGTGCCGTCCCTGCCAGAGCGCGGCGCGACGCTCAAAGGCGTCGGGTCCGACTTGGACCCGTTCCCGAACCCGCTCTCTCTACTCTCTCCTCTCTCCTCTCTCTCTCTCTCTCTCTCTCTCTCTCTCTCTCTCTCTCTCTCTCCTCTCTCTCTCTCTCTGTCTCTCCACCCAGCATTCAGCGGTGGACAGCTTCGGTCGAGGTCAGTCTCCTCTCAGCTCGCCAACCTGTCTCCGGCAGCCGGGCTGGGTCGGAGAGTCCTCGTCTCCCCAAACTAGGCCACGAAGTGAGTGATCAGACACTGACTGAACAGCAGTGGAGTCGGATTAAACCCAGTCTGCTCCTGTCTGACGGGCGCCCGCTCGGAGCAGCCCCCATTCAGCCTAGCGTTCTGCAGAGGACCACTGAGCGCCTTCACACACTGAGCGTCCCAGCGGTGAATGGTCCGGTCCTGTGACCGATCTCACTCCCCGGGGACTCGCTCTCCTGCAAACCGCTCCGGGAAGCGCCGCGGTACCGTTCGGGCTCCGTTCCGGTCTTCCTGTCTGACAAACATGGGCTGCTGATGGGCCGTGACAGCCGTCTTCGACACCGAGCTGTGTGTCAGGTTCGGGAGAGGTTATGGGTAGATGTGCGGGGTCACGTGTCAGTTTGGTTGGTGGGACTGACGGACCACGTGATCGCTTATCCAGAGAGACGGATCAGCGGTGATTCGGGGAAACCTTGCTGACGCCGGGTAGGATGTGGTGGGGCCGTATAATGAACACCCTGGCTCCAATACGGGCCACTTATGCTTGACGATGATCCGACACATCAGGAAGCATTTATCGAGGGAAGCATCAGGTAGTCTCGATGTCAGAAATCTGCCTCAGATTTTGCAACTATAACGGCGAGGCAGTGCGCTCATGGACGCTGCCGCCGTGACCCGGGTCTGGCCAGTCTCTTCGGCACCACCCACGGGACCGGGGTGCTGTGCCAGCGCTGAGCCTTCTGCGCAGCTCCGGTCTGTGAGCTGCGATCGCCGAGTAAACAGTGGGGAGAGCCAGAGCAGAGGTGCACTGGACGGGCGCCAGGGCCGAGCGGTCAGTTTCAGGGTATGACGAGGACCGGTCCGGTCCGGGTAGACTGGACGTGGGGAGCGGTCAAAGGTCAGCTGACTTGGGCACGGGGTAGTCAAGGTCAGCTGACCTGGGGCGAGGTCAGTCGTAGTCAGCTGGCCTGCCGCAGGGTTAGTCAAGGTCAGGCTGCAGGCAACCTGTCGCAGATTTAGTCCGAGTCGAGGTCTTCTAGGTGAACCGGGATCACTGTGCTGTGTGCACTCATTGTGTCGAAGCTGCTGACTTCAGTACCGCTCTGTTTATCCGCACATCTGTTATGAAACCGTGTGACGTCCGCGGCTCCAGAAAGGCTCTGTGAGTGGAGGGACCGATACGGAGGATGCGTCCCGTCACCTGCTATCTGGCCAGGTTTGACGCGACCGCTTCCGCCGCGACCGGCCGCTATCTCAGCGGCGCCCAGAGTCTGCCGATCCCCGAGATCTGTGTCTATCTTATCGGCCCGGGCCGCCCCGCTGGCTGCGCTCTGCGCCCGACCAGCCGCAGCTCCGTACCGTTGAAGGCTGAGCTGTGTAAACTTCCGGCGACCGTGACGTCGCACGGAACCAGGGCGGGGTGCGGCACCGGCGTGCCCCCCAGGTCGTGCTCGCCGAGACCGGTCAAAACGGCATTGTCATCTCGGCTGGCTTGGACCGGTTACGGACTACGGTACTCATATACGCGTGATGTGAAATCGGTCACCGACTTTACGTCAGACCCAGATTCCCCTCCGGAGATTCGGTCACGAGGTGCTGACCTTGCGGTCCATGTGACCCGACCTCGACCGACCGGCGGTGGTGTCTATTTCGGCGCAGCACGGCGGTGGCGTGTGCGGCGTGCGCCCGGGACGGGTCGTCAGGGCGACTGGCTCGGCTCGGCTCGACGGCGGCGGCTGTTTGGCAGCACGCTCCGGCTGACTGGCGCCGCCGACGTCAGCGACACCCCCCCCCCCCCTGCCGGACCCCCCCCCCCCCAGCGGCGCGCGCCGACACCAACCCGCGGCCGGCGGCGGCGGCCCTGGACCGAGGACACGTCTGTGAGGTGCCCCGCGGCCGGCCTCTGCAGACGGGGATGGCGATAGGTGGAGGGCGCTCCTCAATGTTCTCAGCTGGTAGGGTACTGTCTGCAGCCCCCTCTTACACATGCCATTATTGCTCTCAGTTGAGCTGCAGCCCCTCTAACACTGGCCGGTCCGGTCCGAGTGGGGTGATTTGTGAGCCACCGCCGTGCCGGTGCCGTGAGCTGGGGTCAGAGGCCGCCGAGCCGGGCCGGCCCGGGCGCTGTTAATGCGGCCATCACTGCACGGTGGGCCGGCATAGAGCCGATTAACCCACCGTGCACCGGTTCCCCGCAGAGAGAACCAACAGCTTCGGACGAACGGCGGCTGACCGAGAGTTCATGGAACCGGGGCCGGGCGGGCGGTGTCAGAGTGCGACGCCGGAGGGGTATATCGGACAGGGAGGGGTGGCTTCTGTCTATAAACTGGGCCTGATTCACGGGATACTGGCTCTGTAATGGACTGGTTTGTTAGAGTTGTGCTCTGTATGTTCAATACTGTTCATGCGATATATTTGGTAACACGACCTATCTCTTTTCCAGTCATATCACAAAAACTACAACGTGGGATGATCCGAGGAAAAAGCCGCAGCAGCAGCAGCAGCAACAACAGCAGCAGCAACCGGCGCAGCAGCAGCAGCAGCAGCAACAACAACAACAACAACAGCAGCAGCCGCCGCAGCATGTCCAACAGCAGCAGCAGCAGCAGCAGCAGTCGATCTTCCACCACCAGGTGTCGACGCCCACCTCCCAGCCTCAGCCGACTGTCAATGCTCATCAGCAACATCAGCAGCAGCAACAGCAGCAGGAGGGTAAGTCAGGCTCCCCTTCGCCACACACCGTAACCGCGGGACTAGCAGTACTCACTGTTCAACACTGGGGTACGCGGTTTTTATGCTGCTTCACTTCATCTGACGACATTTTGTAGTACTATCAAAGTAAACCTATACATACTTTAGTTCAGGGGCGGATCCAGGAAAACTCCAAGGGGAGGGTCATGAATCGAAGTGGTGCCCCTACCTATACCCAAAATTAAAAACTCAACGGATTTCGTCCACTTCATTTTGGTGGTGCCCCCATTTTCAGTTTTTTTTTCTTTTTTTTTTTTTTAGTCAGTATCTTAACTCTTAGCCACAACCACATTTACCAATTGTAAGCAAGTATATATGAATGTGCTATGTGTATATATGTTGTGGACGCTGAGTAATGAGTACTTACCAGGAACGTTATCAGGTAAGCAAATCGTTGTCAGTCCGACGAACTTGACCCTGGCGTCTAAAGGGTCTGTCCTTGACACTTCAGGCTTGTCAGGGGCACCAAAGTCCTTCCAGGGACACCACAAACCTGCCAGGGGCACCTACGGCCTTGTAGGGGCGCCACAGGCCCGCCAGGGGCACCACAGGCCTGCCAGGAAGCAGGGGCACCGCAGGTCTAGCAAGTATACACGACAGGCCTGTCAGGGGCACAACGGGCCTGTTGGGCCCCATGAGCACCCCTAGGGGCAGGGGCACCACAGTCCTTCCAGGGGCACCGCAGGCCTGTGAGGGGCACCAGCGGCCTAGCAGGGGCACCAGTCAACACAGGCCTGCCAGGGGCACCACAGGCCTGCCAGGGGCACCAGAGGCCTGCCAGGGGCACCAGAGGCCTGCCAGGGGCACCAGAGGCCTGCCAGGAGCACCACCGACCTCGCAGGGGTAACTTGGGCCTGTCAAGGCACAGGGGCACCACGGGCCTGTCGAGAGGCACTTCAGGCTTTTCAGGGGCACCATAGTCCTCTCCGGGCGCAGGGGTAGCAGGGGCACCAGAGGCCTGCCAGGGGCACTGCAGGCCTAGCAAGGGCACCACTGGTCTATCAGGGGCACCACGAGCCGCCTGTCATAGCCAGGCATCTCAAGCTTATCAAGGCCCAGGGGCACCACAGGTCTGTGAGGGGCACCAGCGACCTAGCAGGGGCACCAGTCAACACAGGTCTGCCAGGGGCGCCACAGACCTGCCAGGGGCACCACAGACCTGCCAGGGGCACCAGAGGTCTGCTAGGGGCACCACCGGCCTCGCAGGGGCACCTTGGGCCTGTCAGGGTCACCACGGGTCTGCCGAGGGGCACTTCAGACTTTTCAGGGGCACCAGTCCTCTCCGGGCGTAGGGGTACCAGCGGCCTAGCAAGGGCACCAGAGGTCTGCCAGGGGCACCAGCGGCCTAGCAAGGGCACCAGAGGCCTGCCAGGGGCACCACAGGCCTAACAAGGGCACCACGGGCCTGTCAGGGGCACCTCAGGCTTGTCAGGGCCCAGGGACACCACAGTCCTTCCAAGGGCACCGCAAGCCTGTCAGGGGCACCAGAGGCCTGCCAGGGGCACCACAGGCCTAGCAAGGGCACCACTGGCCTGTCAGGGGCACCTCAGGCTTGTCAGGGCCCAGGGGCACCACAGTCCTTCCAGGGGCATTACAAGCCTGTCAGGGGCACCAGAGGCCTAGCAAGGGCACCACAGGCCTGCCATGGACACCACAGGCCTGTCAGGGGCACCACCGGCCTTGCAGGGGCGCCTCAGGCCTGTCAGGGGCACCACGTGCCTGCCGGGGACACTTCAGGCTTGTCAGGGGCGTTACAGTCCTGTCAGGGCCCAGGGGCACCAGGCCCGTGGTGTCCCTGCTAGGCCTGTGGTGCCCCTGGCGGTCCTGTGGTGCCCCTGTCAGGACTGTGATACCCCTGATAGGCCGGTGGTGCCCCTGGCAGGTCTTTGGGCCCCCGGGCCTCAAGGGGGGGGCCATGACCCATGTGACCCCCCCCCCCTTGGATCCGCCCCTGCTTTAGTTGGCGAAAATAGGCGAAATCTTGTAAAGACCTTCCAAATAATGATTGAGTAGGCGTATTGCTGCTGGCCGCGTGTTATGTTTCGTTCACTTTGTAGCCCCATGGTGCTGTGCTGAGTTGCCGCAGCCCCCGTCCGATTCCGAGTTGCCGCAGCCCCCGTCTGACCCGCTCTGCGTGTCCGTCAGGCGGGCAGCTGCTGCCGCCGCCGCCGCCGCAGTCTGTGCAGCTGCAGCAGCAGCTCCAGCAGCTGGCGCTGGGTCCGGGCGGCCAGCCGATGGGACCGCTGCCCGAGGGCTGGGAGCGCGCCGAGACAGAGGCCGGAGAGGTGTACTTCATCAACCACCAGAAACGCACCACGTCCTGGTTCGACCCGCGGATACGTGAGTGTATGACACAGGTCACTGCTCACTGGTCCAGGGTTATACGTCACTTCTCACTGACCACCGTGTACTGGTCACGATACAATCACAGACCACAGGTCAGTGATCGCAAGTCAGTGGTCAATCAGTGGTCATTGATCACAGATCAGTGGTCATGGTCACTGATCAAAAGTCGCCGACCACAGGTCTCTGGCCATCAGTTACGGGTCACTGGTCCGGTCTGAGTGTAGGAGGAAGGCGTTGAGCTTTGCTAAAAGGTAACACGATAAAACACGACACAAAACATCAGATCGATACGTCTGGGCATGGCTTACGTAAAAAGCGTTAATGTACCGAGTTCTTGTGAAAGCGTTGGTTCTTCTCAAAAGCATTAGGTGTTGATGTGTTTTGCTTTGATAGGTTATCATCTAACAGCGATAAGTAGGTAACACTAGGAGAGAGACGAACAAAAACGGACCAAAAGAAAACAAACTTATCGCGCCAGTATCAGTCAGTGGTCACAGTCCGCGCTCGTTGTCGGTGGAGTGTCTGTCTCAGTGCTCTCTCCCGCTCTCCCTGTCCTCTCCCTCTCCCACCTCTGAGTCCTGGAAGGGGTGGGGGAGGGTGGGGGTGACGGGCGATGACGTTTGTGACGTGACGCGTCACGGCGGCGGCCTCTGAGCGGCCTTCGCGGCGCCCTTTGAGTCAGCGCGTGCCTCCGGCGCGGCCGGGGGGGGGGGGGGGGAGTTGGCCACACGCCGGCCGACCTGACCCGGCGGCGCGGGGGCAGAAATAGCCCGGTCACGACGCCCTGTTGCAGGAAGAACTCGGTGCTCGTACGGAGCTGGGATATTCTGGGCGACTGCCGCTATTTCGGTCCGACCCGACCACTCACCTATTATGGGCACACTGGAGGACCGTCCTCTGCCAAATTCACCGGCCGCTGACGTTTTGGACGTGGATGGGCCTCTTTTGAGACACTGTGACGTCATTAGTGACTACGCGCGCCGGCCTGGCGGTGACACACTGGATACGTCACGTGGACACCCGTCCCACGGGGGGCTGGCTGTTTGTGTGGTGACGCCGATATTTTAACCCAAATCCACGCCCTGCCCTGCGCCTCTGCCTGGTTTACATTGGCACTGGGTGTTTGATTGGAGTTTACAGTGCTGGTCGGTGTCTCACATCAACCAATACACGATCTTCGCAGCGCCAAACGGTGACATTTACCCTTTCGGTCGATAGAAAACTTTGATCACGATTAGCAGCTGCTGACCGCGTCTGTAAATGTAACTCGGCGGCCCAGTCCCTGGCTGGCCGACGCGGAACACTCGACGGCAGAGTGGCCTGTACCCGTCCGGCGTCCGGCCGCATTCGACGTGTTTGTATAGCCTTGGCCAACTGGAGCCGCAGTGACTAAACAGCCGGGCGTACTGCCGGCCAGCGATGGCCATGGGTGGACCATGCGGATGTGATGGCAACACATGCACTTTCTCACTATTCTTTTGACTGATTAGATTTGCGAGCCACATAAGATGCTTGACTGTTGTGACGCCATGAGGTCGAGTAACACACTAGTTACCAACTTTTGCTATGTTGCCATGGGGGGGGAGGGGGCAAGTTACGAGCATCGTTGTTAAAGTTTGGGAGCTTGAGATTTGATCATATCTTATCATTACCCTCTCAAACCCGACCTCTGCCCATCCCAGTAGTGTGCGGTACTTCTCACCCTGTCCCTAACTGACCGTGCTCTGTGTCCCTATCACTCTGTTCGTCCCCAGCTAACAACCACCCCGTCCCTAACTGACCGTGCTCTGTGTCCCTATCACTCTGTTCGTCCCCAGCTAACAACCACCGTCCCCAGCTAACAACCACCGTCCCCAGCTAACAACCACCGTCCCCGCCCATCCCCAGCTGACCGCCCTGTGTGTCCCCGCCACGTTCTCTGTCGTCCCCAGCTAACCATCACCGTCCCCGCCCGTCCCCAGCTAACAACCACCGTCCCCAGCTGACAACCACCGTCCCCGCCCGTCCCCAGCTGACAACTCTCCCCGGCCGTCCCCAGCTAACAACTACTATCCCCGCCCGTCCCCAGCTGACCGCCCTGTGTGTCCCCGCCACGTTCTCTGTCGTCCCCAGCTAACCATCACCGTCCCCGCCCGTCCCCAGCTAACAACCACCGTCCCCAGCTGACAACCACCGTCCCCGCCCGTCCCCAGCTAACAACCACCGTCCCCGCCCGTCCCCAGCTGACCGCCCTGTGTGTCCCCGCCCGTCCCCAACTAACCGCCCTGTGTGTCCCCGCCCGTCCCTAACTGACCGTGCTCTGTGTCCCTATCACTCTGTTCGTCCCCAGCTAACAACCACCGTCCCCGCCCGTCCCCAGCTGACCGCCCTGTGTGTCCCCGCCACGTTCTCTGTCGTCCCCAGCTAACCACTACCTCCGTGCGTCGACAGCTGAGCAGCTGCAGCGGCCGGCTGCGCTGCAGCTGCAGCAGACCGGCATGTCCACCCAGGCGCTGCAGCAGCGGCAGCAGACGCTCCGGCTGCAGCGGCTGCAGGTCGAGCGAGAGCGACTCAAGATCCGCCAGCGCATGATCATGAACCAGGTGAGACACCGCCACAGTGAGCACGGATCCCGCCGGGATTCCAACTCAGCACACCTAAGGCAGCTCACCTACATAGGAATTAAGAACGGACTTACCCTAAAATATCACAACTTCTCATCACTTATCCTGGAGGGTTGTGATGTGAGTGGTCGACTCAGTCGTCCAGTTCAGACCATCAGGGATGCGCGAAGTGTTCGGCGCCGAATCTGGATTAGTTCGTGCTTCCCTTCCCTGTGGCGTAGTCGCCGGCTGCAACGCCTGTGTTGGTAAGCACTCCAATAGGAAAACACGGCACACCGAGCCTGCCACCGTAGGTGCGAAGTATATTTTTATCGGCATCACTTGTGGTTATGCACGCGTCTCGTGACCACCGCTGAACTTCGACGAAAAAACAAACTGTAGCGGACATGTTGCCTTCGCCGTAACCGTGCCGCCAGTGGCGCCGGCGGCTGCGCGCGTGACCTTGCCTTATGTGGCAGCAGGAAGAGTGGAGCACTGACGACGAGTCGTGCTCATGACTGCGCCGGCGACTGGCACGGGAGGGGGGGGGGGCAGTGGAGGAGGAGAATTGAGGATGGCGGGTCCTACCGGCGAACCTCGTGGAGACGGTGCGGCTCACACGTCACTGCGCCTGCCGCGGCATCTGTCCTTCGTTCTGTGACGATCCTGTGGAGGTGACGCCACTGTACGCAGACCTTCCGTGACGCCGCAGACCCTCTGCCTGCCGGTCCGATCGCCGGACAAGGTCGTGCCGTCTCAATCGGTCACCGAATCGCGCGACGCTCGCCGGCCGGTGCGACGTCCTCGGCTTATCGGAGAGCTCGAGTTGTCGGCAGGTGGTGCGATTTTTGGGCCCGTGCATGATAGTTAGCCGGTGTGGGACGCGATATCAAGGTTAGACGAACGATGCGACATTGGTGATAAGGCGCACTGTTTGCGTGCTAACTGCGCCGTTTTCGTTGCCTTTAATCACGATTTCTTGGCTGACGTAGCTTACTGCGTTTACGTCACTGTGAGATCCTTTGACAAAATAGCTGACGTGGCTTCTGTCGTCCCTCTGTCGTTCCTTCATATGTCCCTTCCTATGTATATCTCTTTCTTGTATATCTTTTGAAATTCTGTCTCGTTCACGCACTCTTTTCTCTGTTCTTTCCTTGCTCCGAACCGCGTTCGTTGATCGTTGCGACGACGGCAGAAGCTCTGCCTTCCACTTTGCCCACAGAGCCCTGGTCTTACTCGATAGAGCATATACAAGACATGTGACTGGTATGAGGGGCCTAAGCCGGCACACCTACCTGGAACAACGTCGCAGTATTCACCGGCGTTGGGGCCCTAGCAGAGGTCCTGTGACGCATTAGTGGCGGAGATTTGGTAGTTGGTCAGGCGATTGGGATGGAGAACTACGAAGGATGGTAGTCCTGGATGGAAGACGATGGATTGTAATGGTGGACGTGTGTTGTGGACGATGGATGGTGAACGTTAGACAGTAGACGGTGGAAGGACGTAGACGGCGTAAGGTGGAAGACGACTAAGGATAGTCTATTGGGCCAGTCAGAGAGGAGACAGACAGTTGATAGTGAATGGAGGACAGAATTCTGAAGCTGAAAAACCGATGCCGTGTAGTGTGAACCCGGCCCGCTATCGGCCCGGCAGCTATCCCTCCCCCGGCTGATAGCCCGTACATACACGGGTGCCGGCGTCCGGCACCTGGCCCCCGGTATCAGTCGACAGCCGTTGGACAGGATACCGTATCGGCCGCTTCCGGGCGGCCAGGTCGGGTCAGGGGTCAGGGACGCGCAGACGCCACCTGCTGACCGGCCAGCGGCGTGTGAACGTGATGCAACGCGATCTGGTGGAGAGACCTCGAGTGGTGGCCATTGCACAACTTTAGTGCAGGTGGCGTGAGCTAGAGATCCTCATTCATGATGCTACTTGATCCGGATTACTTCAATGACGCACATTGAATAGTCAAAGACTCGATCACAAGTGGGTTATCACTTCGGTGGTTACCTGACGATCCCTCGGCCGCGCTGTACCGTTTCCGGCCAAATATTCGACACGGCGTCTGTTTCGGTGACACGATAAACCATACAAACGGCGAACAACTGCACTTTTATGGCACACCGGCTCCTCGTGCTGACAATGACAGCCGTTTTTCAAATCCGCGACTTGTGGTCCTTGCCCCTGCATATTTGTGTCGTTCGTGAACAATCTGTCCATAAAATAGTGCCGCTACACCGCACGTGTGGCCTTGTAAGACCGGGAACTCAGGTGGGCAGACAATCCTCGCCGGTCGCCGCCGCCAGTCCCTTTGTATCGGCGCCGTGCACATGGACAGACTGACACGTGCGGCCCGAAATGGGGATAACGTCCGATAGGGCTGTTTGCCCTGGCACTCGGCACGGCCGCTGTATCAGCCCCCCGTGATTGGGTCGTTGTGGCTAACCGTTAGCGTCTGTCAACTGTGCTAACGCCCTGCAGCAGGTGCTTTACACGGTACACACTCGGCGGCTGCAGACTGTCAATGTTTCCTTTGATTATTTCAAACGGCTCATGATGTTTAAATAACGTTTAAAAAGATGTTTAAATGAAGCATGTTTCAACAAGATGCTGTGTGCTGATTGTTTTGTTTCTGTTTTCTTGCAGCACTTCCCGAACAACCAGCTGATGGGTGACAACGCGCTGCAGAGCAGGGTGAGTTGCCGTACATTGTATCCTCTGCTCACCCGTCGGGCTCCTCTTGCAGTCTATTCACCTTTGATATAAGCCGTTGAAACTATACTATCCCTTAACTGTCTATCTGAGCACTAAATGTCCCGTAAACTGGATTGTACTTTGCGAATCACAGCAAAGCAATGTTGGGCGCTAATCTGCTCTTTCGCTATCTGCATCACCGCTTTGCGTAGTCGTATCTGCGCAATTGTGTTCTTCTCCCCTGGAGCGTCTCTCCACTCCATCCTCTGACCTCCCTCCCCTCCCCCCCCCCCCCCTCAGCTGGCGCAGGATCCGAGCGGCCGGGTAGAGGACGAGGTGAACCGGGCGCGGGAGGCGCTGCTCCGCCACTCTCTCCAGGACATCCAGGAGGCGCCGGGCGCCGGTGGCAAGTCGCCCGCCGGTCTGGAGCCGTTCCTGTCCGGCGGCGTGGCGGCCGACTACCACAGTCGACAGGAGTCGGCCGACAGCGGCGTCGGACTCAACTCCAACTACAGCCTGCCGCACACGCCCGAGGACCTGCTCTCGCCCATGGACGACCAGATGGACGCCGGCGACGGTAGGTGGCGCTGGCGGTGGAGGTAGTGCTTATATAGGTGTCGCCACCGGCGCGTGGATGAGGAAGGAAAGGCTCTGCGGTTTGACTGAAGGTCGTCTGATATTGTTCGGAAGCGATTTTTTCCATTGCGATATAATCCAGCTGGAAACTTTGTTTATACTTTTTGTACTTAAGTTTGTACGTGCTATTTCCAACGAACTTTACCGGCACCTTTATATGTGCTACTTACTGAGCGCTGCGGCAGTCAGCAAAATGTGTATGTCGACCCGTACCCTCCGCTCACCTCTGTTTCCATTTGTGACGCGCATCCTTACGTCACTGACAGACCCGTCGATGGCGTCGATGGCGCGGGACGGCGGCAGCGGAATGGTGGATACGCCCGACCTGGCTGGCCTCGGAGCCGACATGGACTCGGACGACCTGATGCCCACCATCCAGCAGGTGCGAACCGTTGGGGAAAGTGGGAGAAGGTCAGGGAGGGGTGGGGAAGAGGTCAGGTCAACCACCTTGTCAGCCACTAAACTTGGAGGCTGTAGGGAGGGCTATTAAATAAGGGTAATGTCGCTTCCTAAAGGGCATGATCGCTGTTCTTTGAGGTCTGTAGGCGCTCAGTTGCGTGCGAATATTTGTGAAAGAAGAGTTGCATGCTGGTAGGGAGTGGCCTTTGCTGCGGCTGGGTATTGTAAAATTTGAGGTGTGTTAATAGGCCAGCTGACTGACGGGATTCTGATGCTCTTTTTTCAGCTGGATAGTGTCGGCCTGATGTCGAACGAATTTCTGAATGACGTCACATCGATCATCAACGCCAACCGCATGGGCAACAGCCACACCTGGCTCTGAGCTTCGGCGAGCCGACCGCAGGCGGCGCCACCGGCGCGCCGCAGGACGGCGCCAGCGTCGCCTGAACGAATCCGTGGCAGCTCAATCGGGAAAGGACGCGCGTGCAAACTGCCGAGCCAGACCCGTGCCTTCATTGACTATGTGCGTTTCTTTGCGTTTGTGAGAGAGTGAGTGAGTGAGAGTGTGACATCATACTGCGCCACCCGCGGCGGCGCAGAACGGACGCCCCCAACCGCCGAGACAATCGTGTGATGACGTCAGACTGACGTCAGTGGCGGCGGCGCCGGCCGCTGACGGGACGGCCGACCGCAGTAGACTGATGACGTCATTGGTGCGGTACGAACTTCTCGGCTGCGTCCGGCCGACGGCGCGACGTACAAACGCGCCAGGCAGCTGGGAGAGGGAGAGCCGCGAGCGAGCGAGCGCGCCGGCCGCCGGGCGGCGGGAGACTGCGGCGCGGCACCCCGACTCGCGCCCCGTCAGCTCAACCGGTTGCCTTGTTTGCCAGTCTGTGTTGAGAGGAGGCCTTGTGGCTGCGCGGTGCGCGGCGCGAACAGTGTACTTAGAGGTGTCTGCGCGGCGTGTGCCGAGCGCAGCCCAATCAAAAGCTGTGCTCTCAGCGTCCACCGGAGGCCTTCGTGGTGCCTTTCTGGCGCGCTCGTGGCGCGTGTTGTGCCGCCGACGGCCGCGCGCGGTGGCGCCGTCTTGCCCGGCGCAAGGCGGCGCTCACCGGCCGGCCCGTGTCTGCCCGCAGACACACCCTGTGATGCTTCCAGTGCCCTCGCGCCTCTTGGCGGCGGATAAGGCGGCGGCGCGCCCGTTCCTAGTGTGGTGTTCCGCGCCGACCCGGCCACCGCCGCGCCGCCGGTCCAAGAGGAGGTGCAGGGCCAGTGCACAGCACAGCACGGCTCCCCACCCGGCGACCGCCAGAGCGGCCCCGGCCCACCACCCGCGGCGAACCGTGCCGCTCCTGCCCCGCGGATTGGCACTGGGCATTGGGCATTCTCTCCGCGGGCCAGGAGCAGCCGGTCGCCCGCCCCCGCCCCCGCCCCCGCCCGCGGCGCCGTGCCGCGCGCGCTCTCAAGATGCCATATTTGCTATAGACTTATGGGTGATGGGCTTAGCGCAGTAGAACTCTGGATAGGTAGCTGTAGGGGCGGTGGGCCGAGCGAGTGGCTGCGACCCGCGCCCGCCGCCCCTCCCTGTGTACAGAATGATACCGGTGTACAGCAATAAAAGAAAACCACAGAGGAGAGCAGGCTTTGGCCGCCGGGAGGCCCAGGGTGGAGTTTGTTTAAATGTGCTTCAAAAGATGCGCTCATAGGATGGAAGTATCAAACGTGTTTGGCCTGGGAGCTCAAAGATCCGTGGCCTGGCCACTAAGTTGTTTATTTTTCTGTTAAGAGCAAGCTTCTCCGGGCTTTAAAGGTCATTGCAGACCTATGTGATGAAAGGATAGGGCGAAACTGAAGACATTGGACTGAGCGAACCACAGTGGCATGGAGACCGTTTTGGTAGGGCGTTAGCCGTTGTGATGAAACTAGATCCTGCCACTCAAAAGGCCAACCCCGACTCCGCAGGGCTGCGGAGTCGATGGATTTTCGGCGACTCCGACTCCGACTCCGACTCCGGCTTTCAAAAACCAGCTCCGACTCCGACTCCGGGCAGAATTGTCGACTCTGACCGACTCCAACTCCCGACTCCGACTCCGCAGACCTAGCAGGGCTGCGGAGTCGACAGATTTTCGGTGACTCCGACTCCGACTCCGGCTCGGGTTTCTCAAATCGACTCCGACTCCGACTCCAACTCCGGTCACAACTGTCGACTCCGACCGACTCCGACTCCGACTCCGACTCCGCAGCCCTGCCCGAGAGGGTGCAATCTAAATGAGGCAGCATTTTCCCCAAATATATCATAGAGATAGTTATATAAGATCTCTATGATTATTGATTAGGTTAGGTATGTACTTATTGAATACTCCAGTCGACTCTACTATCGGTACCTAAGTAAAAAAAAACTAAGTAGTAAACTGATTCGTTTGATGGATAATTGCCAGAGACGTGATAGGTATTGGATAAGCGTCCGTTTATTTATGCGTTCGTACTTCGTGATAATCATAGAAACAAAGACATCCGTCATATCTTTGGCCGTAACTATTGCCTTTATATCTATGATAATTACCATCACGGATAAAAAGACCAAAGATAAGGCTGCCAAGGTACTGCCAAACAAGAAACGAAATTTAAGCTAACTCTGCGCAGCTGTGCCAGCTGATAAGTGTTCTACGAAATACACCATTAGCAGTTGGTATCAGGTTGCTTGGCAACCTACGATCCATTGAACGGTGCTGGAAATAGTTGCTAGGCAACTAGCTGCTATTTCTTCAAGGAGTCGCAAATAGCAGAATCGCGAACAGAATATTGTCTGAAAAAGCGCGCGCATCCCCTTTTGTTGTGTGATAGACGGCCTTGGTTGTGTAGTGCGATATCGTAGGTACTTTGTTGTTTGCGGTATTTTTTTTCCTTAAGGGTACAAAGCTGAGACAGGGTGCCAACTTATTGCGCAAGAAAACAGCATAAAAGGAAATTGAAATGGGAACGGATAGCAGGAAAATACAAGAAGAGCTTCAGTTTCTCCTTGAGGAAGATAATAGGGTGGTAAGCATATAATTTTTCAATATCATCACTCAGCTGATTTTCTGGTAGTATCTAGGTAATGGTATCTAGATTAAAGCCAGTTTCAGTAATATGCTGTGTGCTGAAAAGCCAGCCTTGTAAATGTGTAGATGAAGTACAGTGACGATAAATAGGCAATAGCAATTTGATCTGACCCAGACTAACCTTACCTACGTACTGAACTACAACCTTGAACTTATCAACCTGAAGCCTACAACCTACAACCTACCAACTTCCGTAATTCATCTAGACGTATACCATCAGCGTTACCATTACTGATTGTGATGAGGGTTGATCTCGTCATTGGAACAGCTTAATGTTTTGTTCAAACAATTCCATTGCCTATTGTATCAAATTGACAGTATTCCTTTTTCCAGATCACTTACAAGTTTGTAAGTGCCAACTTTGGGATACATGTCAATGATGCTAAAAGGTAAGAAAGAAGAGAGGTATGAATTATCACAAGAAGGGCTATAGGTTTGCATGGCATTAATGATGACTTTGCAGGTAGGTACCTAGCCACCTACCTATTTTGATGGTGAATGAAGCTCAAATTACTATGCACAAAAGTCAAATATTTGGGCTGGAGAGATTGACAGAGTTCATAGAGTTCATGGCAAACAAAGCTTTAGCCTTTAACTGGGATGTTCTAAGTGTAGCATGTCAATCAAGCCATGCACAGGCACCTATCACAATCTGACTGCAACTGGCTGTGACTGCTCCTGCCTTTTACCAAGCACCAAGCATCCCCATCAGGAGCCGCATATGGCCATCACCAGATGGGCTCCAATCCGGGCTCCCACCTTGGAAAAGTCCAATGTTCTACCAACTGATCTACAGGACTGACTTAAGATCTTCAGCTACATTATATTAAGGACTGAGGAGTAAGTGAAGGGAAGACAAGACAAATTCAGAAGTCCAATTTTAACATTAGGAATGCTAGGGAAGAAAAGTGTCAAGCTCAGAGAGGGTGGTAATGATTTCTGGTGGTGTTTCTGGTCAGTTATTGTAACTGGCTCAAGAATGCAATATCTATGCTGGTTCTGTTGCCAAGGGGCCCATCTGTGCATCAACTGCACCTAGTGTTTTGTGCTATTTCTGTCTAGATCTCAGCAAGGAACAAACACAATTTCTCAGCAAATGTGAATTTGATTGCCTTTCTTATATGGTGGAAAATCCAAGTGCCATTCCTAATTTTTCAAGGTTATCAAATTGACTCCCTAAATATAGGTACCTACTGAGACAGTTTACTCTATGCTCTTACATGGTTGTGAAATGGCTGCTGCCTTTGTGATTAATTTTGTATTGGTGTTTGTATGAGAGCACAATTTCATTTATTTTGAAATGTTTCATTTATGATTTATCTATATTTTTTCAAGCTCCAACATATGTAGTGCTTACTTTTTTGCAATCAATCATGAATGCTGGAAAAAGACACATCTGATGACATAGAATACACTGAGGAAAATGAGGCACTCAATAAAGCACGGCAATTTTCAGTTTTTAATGTGGCACTTCTTACCAATTACCACATAATACTGTGCAGTGAATAACTGTCTGATGAGAGCCACCCTCCGTCAGGCAGCTGCAGTCTTTGCTGGGAGCGTGCCGCGGCAGGGGAGACGATGCCATCACTGCCACCTTCTACCTCTCTGGACTCAGTGAAGAGGAGGAAGACTGCGTGGCTCAGAAGGTAGGGGTGCAGAGACCGGAGGGAACTAGGTGTGGGGGAACACTGGGTCAGAGAGGGGACCTCTAATCCATCGAAACCATTTGGCTTCTAATCCATTGGTTAATGAAATGTTAGTAAGCTGCTGCTGGCTAGATATTCTGAAGGCTCAATATTCATGACGGGTTTTCTGATTATCCACTACCGTCTGAGGCTCCGTCGCCAGGTGTCGCGGTCGTTAACATATAGATGTCGCTGCTGTCTCGGGCAGTCGCTGGTGGTGTCCGAGGACCAGCTGACGGCAGCTCGCAGCTCGCTGACCTCGGTGACGTCAGAGCACGTGTTCAGCGTTCAGAGGCACCGGGTCCGTGATACGAATGTGCTGTACGGCGCCGACCTGCAGGAGAGGCAGGCCGACCCGGCAGCCTTCAACAGGTGAGACACAAGGGTATTGTGTTGTGTCCAAATATTATTTGTGTATTGTATTGTGCAAATACCCAGGCGGTATTGTGCAAATATCGTCTGGGTCTTAGAACGCGCGTTCAGATGCGTGGGAGCGGAGTGCGGACGTTAAAAGCTACGGACTATTATAAAACTCTCTCGATTCAAACTATCTCACGTTTTTGCTTTTGTAAATTTTTTGACAAATGCTTGCACGTCCGTATCGGACTTAAGTTCGACTAAATGCACCTTTTACAGTAGCTGCTGTCAACTTTCTGGTCTCAGATCGGATCAATGCCAGCAACTCACGGGAATCGATGGATATGAGGGTCGAGGGAGCATATACTTACGCTACGGAACCCAAATGATCACCATACCCAGGGGCCAGGTGGATCAGCTAAGACGGAATATGAAGAAAAAACATTTCATATTTGGTTTCGAAGAAACAATCACCCATCACACCTACGATCGGCCCCACGTCACTGTTGGCTTCTGTCACCGATTCTCGCTGTAACTGTTTGGGAACTAAGAGGACACCACAGTACGGCTGTGTGTGGCACCTGGCAACAGGGTTTATTCTTTCCCAGTTCACTCCCCTCCCGCAGTTCAAGGTCGCCCGTCGGTCATTTCTCGCTGCCGCACTGACGTTGCAGCCTTGAGTTATGACGTCAGTCGCCGGCGGCACTGTAATTACCTCGCCCCCCCCCCCCCCCCTCCTACCCGAACGGGCTATTACATGCACGACGCATCCCCGGCGGCAAATATAGTACGGCGGCGACCTCCGGTTATTGGTCGCCGGTGACGCGCCAGGCGAGGCGACACTCGGTAGGTAAGGTATTTCGGGCCGATTGATGACCTGTCGACCGCCACAGTTCGTCCCAGATAGAACGTCAGGTTGAGGCATTTGAACTCAGCAGGGCTTATTTGGTAGACGAACTTCCAAGAAGACTTGACGTAGATGTTCGGTCCTTCGTTTCTACTCTGTTGGGGATATTTGGTTGTCTTATGGCACCAGAGCAAGCTGTTATGTACGAGCGAGTGTCAAAAACAGAGTGTTTTCGCTGGGTCATTGAATTGCAGCAACAAAGCTGCAGCAACCAATTCAATATAATCGTGTAAACTGATCGAGTTTCCCTCGACCTCCGCGCCAACTTTATGTTGCCATTCAAATCTAACTTGAGCGATGATTTGTGTTTGACCTCCCCGCCGTGCTCGTCTCATTTCCGCGGCTGGATGTTTGGCTTTGGTCCCGGTGTGTGCCGTGGCGCTATTGCTGCCGGTTTTAGCGGCCGCTGCTGACTGTCGTCTGTCGTTCTCCAGTCACGGCGCCATCACAAACGTCCGGGCCGAGCGGCTGTCGGAGGCTGAGCTGCTCAAGGCTCGCCAGGTCACCCTGCCGGCCGCCCCCGCCCCCGCCCAGCCGGCCAAACGGCCCGCCGCCCCCGCCCCCGCCGCGAAGAAGGAACCCTCAGCGGCAGCGGACGAACAGCCCAGCTCGGAAAGTCCGGCGAACAAACAAAAGTCGAAGGAGGATGACCACAACAAGGCTGAGGCGGCAGAGAAGGGCAAGTCGGCTGGCAAGTCTTCCGGCAAGGGCAGTGGCAACATCGCGTCCATGTTCGCCAAGGCCAACACTGAAAAGGTACGCAACTGAGTAAGGTGGTGTATGGTAAAATTCTAACGTTACAGTGCACTCCTCATGTTTCTAACAAGCTGATCTAACCAATGCCAAAACATTCGTGTTCTCCAGCTAACCAAATCACTGATCATATGAATCGGTTATTCAGAGTCAGCACGAAGCTTATAGCGCGCTTCATTTCCTATTACCTTTGCCATCGTTCTCTATCCTTCGCGTTTGGTATATTTTCCCGCTCCCAAAGGTACACTAAGATAATTTGTACACCAATGCATTGGTGTACAAATGCATACCCAATGCATTCAGTATGGTTTACCTCTCCACAGAAGACGGTCAAGAGTCCCCCGAAGAAGGCCGCCGGCGGGGGGATGATGGCCAGTTTCCTGAAGAAGGGTGCGGACCAGAAGCCTTCGTCAGAGAGCACCAACGCCTCCGCCCCCGCCGCCGCCGCCGCTGCCGCCCCGGCAAAGTCCACCCCTCCACCAGTGAAGTCGGAGCCCTCGGAGGCAGATAAAACGGAAACGGTCCGGTTCGGAGCCAAAAAGGGCGCCGGTGGCGGCGCGAAGGGCGCCAGGGGTGGCTCGGCCAGGGGTAAAAGGCAGAGGAAAGGGGACAGCGGTGGCTCAGAGCCCGCTAAACAGAGGCGGCGCATTCAGGTGGCTTCGGACAGCAGCGAGTCGTCCGATGATGACGGTGAGAGGGAGGGAAGGAGGGGAAGGGAAGAGAGAGAGAGAGAGAGAGAGAGAGAGAGAGAGAGAGAGAGAGAGAGAGAGAGAGAGAGAGAGAGGGGGGGAGACAGACAGAGGGAGGGGGAAGGGCAGAGACAGAGAAGAACAGTGGAGTATGGGAGTGAGGCAGACGTGGCTAATCATGATTCAGAACAAAAGTTATATGCCAAAACACGTCGGCAGGATTAATTTATTGTGAAACAAGCATATATCTACTGCGTGAGAGGTTCACTTCATTGCGGCGACTTCTGTGACAAAGGGACCTTCGGTAACATGTGTAACTGGTAGAAAAGAAAAAAGACTGCGGTTTTCTGTTCTTGGCTAAAAATTACCTTGACATATTATTGTGGGAGCTAATTGACAGAATTCTTACAACATGACAAACTTAGGGCAAACTTAAACTTTTTGAACGACGGTTCTCAACTTTTTTATCCTGTGGGAAAGTTTTGCTCTTGTCGGTAATGACTGCCGATTCGTTTTCGTGAAATCCTTGACATTCCCCTGACGGTGGAAGTCGTCCTGGATGACTTCGCAAATAAGCTTACTTATCGCCGTCGTCTGTTCTTATATCTTCCCTCAGCTGTCGATTAAGGCCTCTGCTGTTTTTTTTTTTTTTGTCTAATGCACTCTTGGGCCATTGGGGAGCTGGATGGACGATCGTTGACGACCGGTAGATTTCGAGAATCGACTTTCCCGCTTAGTAGATGCTCTCGGATAAGATTTTTAAGTGATTAGTAAATTGTATTCTGTGTGCACACAACGAAGACTGTATGTGTGTTACCCCGGGTACACGGTATACATATACGTCGTATTTGCGCCGACCGTCTGTTCTGTGACTCTGTATGCACGCATAGCACGGTATTTACGCATTCTACACTAGCTGCTACCCTGTGCGTTTGTGCCGTATACCCCAGTTATTTTACCCACTGTGTGTGCCTTATACCCCACTAACTATCCCGCGGGTACGCCGGTCTGCAGGTGGCCGGGAGGAGCCGGACCCGGAGCCGGAGCCGGCGCCGCCGCCCGTCTCAGACGGGGAGGAGGACGCGCAGCCGACACAGCAGCACGGCAAACGCAAACGGAAACTGGTCACCAAAACGTTTGTCGACGATGATGGATTCATGGGTGAGTGGGGGACGGGGAGGGGGTCGGGTCAGCGGGGAGGGGCTTGAAGTCTGTGGAGGAAGTTTTGGGTTGGTGGTGGGGGGGGGGGGGAGGCTATCGCGGCCGTGGGGAGGGCCTCTGCTCTCAGGTCCGTGGGGGAGGGTTTTGGGTCCGTGGGGGAGTTTTGGGTGGGCAGGGCAGGTTGTCGGGCTGATGGGAAGGTTTTTGCTCAGTCGGTAACGAGTTATGACTCATGGTTGGCAGGTTGTACATACGCTGCGCGGGTTAAAGGTCGTCTGGGTGTACGGGTAACGGGTCCATGAAGGCCACAGTATCATTGTATTCAGACGGATCACCAGGTCACAGCTCCGAAGGTCAAGTTGATGAAGGTCAACACTTTGACCTCTTAAGTGGTCAAAAAGCACTACTACTCAAATGACGTCGCAGGTCGGCGATTTTGCGATCACTTGCCAGTCAGTGTAGTGAGCTCACCAGTGGCGCTGGTCACAACTGCACAGTAGATGTTGATGATCTTACGCGGTAGCCTCGTAGATAGCTGCGGGTTACTGTAGTATCCCTAGATCTTACATCTGTTATATCATTTACGAGACGCTGGCGAGTCATCTACAGTATATTTCATGCTGAGTTCCTGTTCCCGTTAGGCGGTAGAGTGTTATGTAGCGTTGGATATTGCGAGATATGATAAATAATTGATGCGATGCGCAATGTCTTTCTTGTTAGACCGCAGAGAGGAAGGAGGTTGCATGTAGCGAGCATTGCGACTTGCGAGACCCTTCTTCAAAATCTGATATTGATCTCACCCTAGTCACATTGTTACTAACATTATTTGTCTATCTTATTTAACATTCTATATGTATATCTGATGCGGTGGATGTCGTTCATATTTTCGACACGATGCATATCCATTCGTATTCAGTGCGACAGGAGATATGTCTGACCTTTCTGATTCATTTCATCAACTGACCTATCCAATATCCATATAGGGAGTCTGTGACGGAATCAACATTGAATAAGCTGACATCGGCTTTTCGACGATACTTAATCGAATGACTTTGTGGGTGATCGGAATGCGTTAACAATTGGCGTTAAGCTTGCCTGCAATAAGTTTGTGGCATGAATCAGAGTGCAGGCTGGAATGCGAATGCTAACGTGTTTCTGATTTTAACACGATAGATTAGACGGCAAGGGCTTACTAAGATAACTTTTCAAATATCTAGTTGAATTGTTGATGTAATATTCAGTAGGTACACAGAGTCAGATGCAATATCCGTCTTCAGTTTGAATTCAAACAAACTTGAGGGTCTTCGAACTTCAGACTCCGAACTTCAATCTGTGTTCAGTATACGTTCCTCGGAAAGCGTCTTCCAGTCCTGATCTGAAGAAAGTTTGGTTCCTCACAGGCACAGTCTGGCAGAATCCCCACTCACCATCATAGAGAAACTAATTGTACATGGATGTACCCCTCTTTCACAAATACATACATCTTCCACTCGAAAAGATAGCCATCCAATGCAGCCTCAATATCTGTGCCGCGTGCAAAATCGCCGCTACCGTCTAATACATGTCACATGTCGGCGGATTCGTTTCTGACGGTCCAATATCGTATCACCGGGGCTCCATTAGACGCGTGCGTCACTACCGCCCTCCGATACCGATGTGAATTTCCTGAGCGGCCGCTGCGTGCCTCCTGCTGCGTCGGAGCCATTTAGCGGAGGCAGCGGAGGCGCCGTGGACTCTGTCCGCCTGCCGACCGACTGGCCGTCTCTCTCGCCCGCCGTGTTGCCGGGGAAGGCGACTGGGCTGTCAGCGCGGGACGTTTGGGTCAGGGACCGCCGCGGTCGGAGCGGGGTGTGCGGACGGGTATCGTCCCTGTCCCGAGTCCCCGGTGACAGCCGAGGCCGCTCGGCGCCGGCTGGTGGCGTTGCTCAGAGCGCCGGCCAGTGATGGTCAGATCATAGGTCAGAAGGAGAACAGAGTTGCGGTCGGAGCAGCGGTCAGTCGGTCACGTAAAAGCCGCGTGTGCTGGCGGCGGCGCTAAATTTGTGCTGAAGTTTGCGCTCGAGTATTGATTCTCGTGAGGCGGTCTGCTCCCGCACGCCGGCCGAACACTGCATTACCGGCCTTTTTCTGCAGTTTCAGCCGACTTCTCGCCAGGTGCTCAGACGGAAAACTGAAAAACACAACATGTGAAATCCAAACAAGCAGCTTCCAGACGGCCGACATTGTATCCAGTGTTTCCATTATCGGTGGGAGAGGAATTCCAGGTCGTATTTGCGCTGCTGTATGTATCTCAAATGGAATAATGAAACTAAGAAACGGCAATAATGTCAGAGGTCGCTTGCTTTTTTCCCCACGCATTTTGTTACGAGCGCCGGGAAAGAGGGAGTGGCTCGTTCGTATGCGGTTTTAGCCATACTAAACAATTACATGTTGAGAGGCCGATTGTCGTCAGCGAGTGCAGACGGATCAAGGTTTTCAGCTTGAATGCAGAACCAGTCGACACAATTGGGTTGGGTCGTAACCAGACTCAGAGCGGCGGCATGCGTTCTTCAAAACTGCAGCAATAGCGTTATAAGTACGAACGATTTTGTGACCTTTGATTCTGGTTTCTGTGATTAGATGTTGTTGGGGTCTTGTGCTTACGTCATGCTAGTTGCCCGTTTGTGAGCTTTATTTATTTTCGCATTCACTGGACGCCCATGAAAAGGATGCAGTCATTCTGCCTTTTTATCTTAATTGGGGTATTTTTACGACTTCGGTTGCTGAGTCCATCCAATCAGTTAATGGATTAAGTGTTCCAAAAACGCCGCCGGCCATCAGCGGGTACAGAGCCGACACCGGCATCCACTCCGCACCAGATCCGATGACGTCACAGGAGGTGGTGAGACGGCCCAGCCGGCCGGCGACAGGCCATGTTTCCCCGCGGCCCTCTGCACCCGTGTTCGCGCCCGTCGGCCGATTGGTGCCACTGGCTTGCTGCAACACCTCCGCATTGTTGTCCCGAGTCCGCCGCATCCGTGACAAACGCGGCGCACTCGGCTGATTTGATGACGCCGGTGTTGGTCGTGTCGACCGGTTAGACGTTGGGGTTGAGACGGAGGTGCGGGGAGCGACAGCGCGCAGTGGAGACAGGATGTTGGGCCAGAGTGGATGGGACGGCCGGCTGAGGGTGTCACGTGGTACTGGTAACGTCTTCTGGTCTTCACCAGAACACTCCAGCCCACTCAGGGTAGATTCTTCGGCACGGCTTTCAAGGGTTTCGCTACTGGTTGAAGTGGCGCATTTCTGGAACTCTGAGAGCGGCGTTGGCCAGTATTGTTCTGCAATCTGCATACAGCAAATATTTAAGTCTGTATGTTGGATATAGTCAGCCGCCTCAATAGGCAGCGTTAGGTGCGTTTCGTCATCCAGACGATCGGCTTTGGATCGTATCTGTTGCGTCAGGCGATCCTCTGCAGGCCTTGGAATAGTTTGGACGACATCAGTAACTGCGAAGATCTTGCCCCGGGCGACGTGTATGCACAACGTGCGAATTCTACACGATCTGTGTCGCCGGTGGGTCAAGGGCCTTACTATAATCGTCATTCGTCCAGCGTGGATCTGTGGAAACAGACGCACTACTGCACACCGCTATAATCAATGGAATTTGGCCGATACCAGTGCACGACCCGAAGCAAGGAATATCATGTCTTTAGTTTTGTTGCTGCTTCTTACTATAAAATACTACAGCGTAGCACTGCTATGTTTATAACATTGACGTAGGCATGCATCTCACAGAACGGGCACCGGTAGCGCGCTTCAAGCGTTCCTACAAATGATAACCGAACTCGCACATTCATCATCCTAGTCCTGACCGCTGCTGGCCGCCCGCTACTGTTGTCCGGTATGTGCTGGCACTTCCCGACTGGCGGCCGCTCAGTCGCTGCTCACTCTCTGCTGACGCATCTCCTCTGTGTTTGTAGACGTCTGCTAAACTCCCGATCGCCGTTCCTGACGTTTGACGTTTCTGTGTCTGTCTGTTCCAGTCACCAAGAAGGAGTATGAGAGCTGCAGCGGCAGCGACTCTGAGGAGCCCGCGGCGAAGAACAGCGCCCCCGCTCGGGAGAAGCCCGCCGCTCCGGCCCCAGCTGCGCCGGAGCCCGCCAAACCCTCTAAACCCAAGGAGGCGGCGCACCACAAAGTTAAACAGGCCGGGATTATGAGTTTCTTCAAGAAGAAATAGACTGAGCCGTTGTGAGGCCTCTCGAGTGATGACGTCATCCTTGTTACGTCCGCGCAGTTCTTGTGACGGCGAGACGTGTTTTGTGCATCGTTCGACGACTTATTGCGCGGGGCTGCCCCTGAGAGTGTATCGCCCGGCATTACTGGAATATTTTGCACGGGTGGCACATACCACTTGTCCTTTATTGCAGAGTGTGCTAGTTTTGTATCGAGTTGTGATGCCGCATTTGTGATTGGTAAGTGGTGTTACATTACCGTCAGAGGTCACAACGTTCGACCCTCCACCTTCTCCGCGCAGCGTTTGATCGCGATTCTACATAGGATTGTGAGCTCAAGTGGGTACATAGAGAGATGGAAGTTTGGCTCTGAAATGGCAAAACCACGCCCACGTATGCGCAAAGTGGGCAGAGCGCGTGTGCCAGCTGTCGTTTCCTTCACACGAGCTAATACAATGTATTGATTTATAAGTCGATGTTTTCTCAGGTTGTGGCTGTGAGCCTGTCCGTGCCGCTAACATTTTTGTTCGGTTGCTGAGTGGGACTGCTAGTGTCGTGGCTTCACTCTCGGCAGTCAGGCAGAGTGTATGAACACACAGGCTCTTCCGTGTACTTCACCAGTAAGTTGCGTCGTTTGCCGTGACATTTCCCTGCCGTTTCCAGTCCACTCGTGTCGCCGCCGCCGTTAGGGCCAGTACCGCGGCGCCGCGCCGCGACGGGCCCGTTGCTTGGAGAGCGTGCTCGGCGGTACAGCGGCCTACAGCGGCCGTCTGCCGCTGACAGGCGGCTGACAGGCGGCTGAAAGGACCGGTGCGCCGACTCCGCGGCAGGGCCAACGGACCAAAGCCGATAATGGACGGGACGGGTAGGCCGACGGGAGGCTGCGGATTACTGCAAACGGCGTGTGTGTGCGGCTGGCATGTCCTCGGAGCGACGTTTGTGGGCTGCTGTTCACAGTAATGAACACTGAACAGCTGCCATCGGGGTTGGATCAGTTGCACTTTACGCTTTTGGTGAACAGTCACTCGCCTTTGGACCCATGAAGTCCAACTACACTGATGGAACCATGGCCTCTGCGGTGGGGATTCGGGATAGGTATTTTTGGTCGCGCCTCCTAAACGCAAAAGGTGGTCTTTCCACACAGAACACCATGCCGATACTGGGAGACAATGTTAGTTCGATATTCCACTTTCCCCTCGCATCATATACTGCTGGTCAGCTCGGCTTGTGTCTAACCTCCCTTTCATTCAATTATCGGCACCCGGTCAAGAATCGCAGATCACGAGTTGCGCTTGCCCCGTCCCCGCACCCCTTGGAAGGCAGCGCATGTATCCGCCAGCCCAGTGCCGCTGGGCATTCATTGATGGAATTTAAATGTTATAGGGGCATCTTATGCCGGCTAAATCACTTCTCGGGAAACACCAGAAGTTTAGAAGGCATTGGTTTCTCAAAAAGCTACTTTTTCGGTGTAATTTCATTGGTAGGCTTGAACAGGTATAGGTACACGGTAAATGCGATTGACGGATGGTGTAAATTCGGGATTTTCCGAATGAAAATATTAGATTAAATTAAAAACCGAAAAGATACAAATTGTTTGTGCGGGATCTGCGACGAGTACGATGTGTCACAATGCATGACGTCATATTTAGCAGCTGAAAAACTTTACAACAATTTTGGCTGCTCCCTGTGGTTTGTCATTTTCTTTCACCTTGACTTGGCCGAACAGGGGGCAAAAATGGCGGGGGCGGATGTAAGGTCGGAAGACCTATTGGGAGAAAAATGGGATAAATGTGTAGCGGATACCATTGTCAAAATCGGTAAGTTCTTAGCTTTTCACCACTTGTGAATTTTTTATCAGTACTGTTTCATTGGATGCCCAAGAGACTGTGAATTGGGTGCGTCGTAAATGTCTACAGATTGAATTGAATGCATTATTTGATATACTAGTAGATAATTGAGGCTACAAAGGTAATAATCGAAACCTCACTCTCCAAAATGCATTAGGAAATGCACATCTTGCATGCTTTTGATACTGCAAGAAAATGGGACAGGAATTGGGTTTGGCTCATTACAACACCACATTGACGGGTTGCTTGGTACATACCTCATTTTTCACAGCTAGGCAAAGGATTTGTCTTGGCTCCATTTCACCAAACTTATTTTCCTATTTTTGTGCCCTTTGAGTGACAACAGGTATGCCTGCAGGAGGTTCGTAATACCTCACTATTTAAACCAACACTACGAGCATAGGGTAGGTGATGTAGAATATAAAGACAAAAAGAAATGTTGTGATCAACTGTTCTTAATAGAGTAATTGAATGACTGTCATTAGAAAGAGTGTAGAAAGCATAAAAACATAACTGCTAGACATGTTTGTGTAACGAAACAGCAAATATTGATTGATGAACTAGAGTTTGGAAGAATCAGAGTAACTGATGTCATTTAGAGTCAGAATTGTTCCATTTAAGTGCTTCTCCTGCCTCAGAATCTGTAATCTATGCTCTAAATAAAATAAAAAGGATTTCTGCTAGGTTTGCTTGGTAGTGTAAGAAGCTAAAGAGGTACCAGATCTTGATTACGGAGCGAGCGAAGCGAGCGGAGTCTTTACTTAGATAACGGAAATTTCTGAGTATGAGCGGCCGGCCGGCCGGCCGGCCGTGCGGACGCTTTTGCGAGGCTTATATCTCAGCAACCACTTGACTGATTTACATGCGGTAATTTTTGTAGGGTAGCTTCATTCCTTCTACCAAGTACTGGACTATTCCCGATGCATGTGGGTGACCCCTTATGCACGTGCCACGTGCAAAACGAAGAGGTGTCAGTTTTGTTATTGTTGCAATATCTCGATAACTACTTGGCCGATTGCGCTGAAAGTTGGTATGTAGGTAGGCACCCACTAGGCACTGCATATCCATGTGCCAGAGTTGGGGTGCTGCTGCACGTGCGCACGTGCAGGGGTCGATTCCAGATCTCGAGAACGGCTGGACCGATTGCGCTCAAATTTGGTACGCGGTTAGGGACCGGTCAGTAGGGTGCCGTGCAAAAGTCAGTTGGGACCCATATTGCACGTGCGCACGTGCAGGGTGCCGCTTCCAGATCTCGATAACGGCTGGGCCGATTGTGCTCAAATTTGGCACATCGCTAGAGACCGGTTAGTAGGGTGCAGTGCACAAGTCAGTTGGGGGTACCCCTCGAAATTTCGCACGTGCAAGGCCCACCCTCTCGCTCGCTCCGTTAGTCGCCCCAAAAGGCGTTATACTGGTGTTATGTGGGTAATCATGCATTGTCCAAGCTGTTGAATAGGTATCAGTCGGGGAAACTATGGTAAAATCTGCTATTTTTAGCAGTCTGCTATTTTTAGCAGAAATCTGCTAAAAATGGGTACGCATGTGACGTCATCGTACCCAAATATAGCAGATTTGGGTACGGCCCCATACAAAAGCAGATCTGCACCCTAATTGAAGCAAATGCGCATCAAATGCCTGGCAGATTCATGATGAGAATAGTGCTGAGAGTGATCTCTGCTATTTTTGTTCAGATCCAACTATTTTCAAATTCATTATTTGAAAATAGTCGGATCTGAACAAAAATATCAGAGGACATTCTCAGCACTATTCTAATCATGAATCTGCCAGGCATTTGATGCGCATTTGCTTCAATTAGGGTGCAGATCTGCTTTTGTATGGGGCCGTACCCAAATCTGCTATATTTGGGTACGATGACGTCACATGCGTACCCATTTTTAGCAGATTTCTGCTAAAAATAGCAGACTGCTAAAAATAGCAGACTGCTAAAAATAGCAGATTTTACCATAGTTTCCCCGACTGGTATCAATTAGATACCCTGAGCATTGCACTTTTCTTGATCAAATCTGTTGCTCTTTCTGTGATGGTGGAGCTTGAACTAATTGCATTGTTTTAGGCATTTGAAGGCTTGGTCTAAATGCAGTGTTGCTTGAGCTTATAAAGGGTTATGGGCAAACTAAATCTAAGATAGATTTGTCAGGTTTTACAGATACCTATCTGGTAGGTGCCCAACCAAGTTCCATGGGTTATAAAGCAGTGAGAATTAATGAAATAATGAATGTTTCATGATGATTCAGTAAGTTAGGAATTGTGTCATAAGAATCAGGTACCTATTCCTAGCTAAAATGTGACTGAATGTACCTACTGGCCGGAGACAGCAGCACCACCTCAGTGGTGACCTGACTCAAATATCTACCACCAAACACTATGACCGTTAGGACTAAAATTTTAGGTGCAGTGAATAAAATGGAAAAAGTCAGTGGTCTCAGATTTGTCATGAAAAAGAAAATTTCCTTTATATCAGTTTTTTCATCGGGGTTTATTTGATTTCTGGATGGCTGTGTATGTTTTGTGAGCATTTTGATACTGTTACGGAACATGTCAGTTTTCAATGGAACATGTTATTTATCATATTTTTGACACAATTTGTTTCAGGTGGTGGCCTGGCAGTTGGTGCAGTCTTCTCATTAATGTTCTTCAAACGTGAGTATTGCTGACAGACATTTTTACCCATTTACATTGGACTTTATCCCTATTGTAGTAACTTATTAAACGTAATTATCTACTTGCATGCCCATTCTACTGTGTGCCTCATTGTGAGTGACTGCCTGCTACTTTTTCAGCCACGAGCCCCGAACGCATGATTTAATTTAAGCGATCTACAGTTGTGGGGAGGGACCGAAGGGCTGAGGTGTGGCCGTGCCTTCAGCGGGGGTTTGATCGGTGACAGCCTTGATAAGCCGGCCGTCTAATGTAGTCTGATGAATCGCCGGTCCGTGAACTGCGCGATGGAAGACCCGCCACAGGTGATGAAGCACGGGCTGCTGACTGCGGGGTTTCGGCGAATGGGGGCGGGCGTGGCTCTCGGCCGCCGCACAGTACCGTGATGGCAGGGGAGCTCGCGATATACGTGGGCTGCAGCATATCATCCACTGAACTATCGTCATGGAGTAGAGAAGTAGAGATCATGGAGTGAATATTATTCTCGCTATCTCCATGCTATCGTCGTTTTCGGCGATTGGGGAGATGTTTGGTGGTATCTGCTCCTGACTCAGATGAACCTTATCATCTACTCGGCTGGACGGCCATGCATCCTCTCCCCTCCCCGCTGCCCTTTGGTGAACTGAATACCCCTCGCCTTTCCGGCTGGAATGCGCCGTGACGGCCCGATATCTGCCGTCTGCCCGAGGCGATTGACGTGTCATGACGTCAGCAAAGGCGACCTTATGATTGGCCGGGGATCAACCCGACGTCGTCTTGACTGACGATCATGCTGCTATATTTGCCAGAGGTGCTGGAACCGGGAGATTGGGATCCCCAATGTCGCCATTAATTTGGACCTAGTCTGGTGTTAGATTCGTCTGCAGCACATTTCAGTTAATTCGAATGTTCCGCTGTTTACATAATTACGAACTTGCATTCAGGAAATTGGAGATCGCCGGAACCACGGCGACGAAACGTCAACAGTTAACTTGTCGGTACTGGGGTAATCCCAGGGGCCGCTCGCATCACTCTCCCATCCAGCCATGCATTCCGACTGCGCTCAGACCGCAGTCTCGCTCTGGCAGCTAGTGGCTCGCACCCATTTGGCACCGATCGGCGATCTCCCATGTCACGGGACACGGACTCATGTGGTCCTCACGACAATGGAGCGGTTTATGCCCGTGTTTCTGTCGATGGGGCTACTGCTGTTGCACGGTATGCTACTGCCGGATGGGTTCTCTACCCGTCGTATACGCACTGCTCCCTGTCCCCACCCCTCCGGCGTTGACTCTCCCGAAGTCTGGGCGAGTGACGAGGCACCGTAGGGGTGATGCATGTCATAGAACATAGAACTGTCGACAAAGTTGCCATGAGGGAATTTCCGAGGCATATGATGTGGCTTCGTTATTTGTATTGGGATATTTGCTAGTCGTCGATATGCAAGGCTTTGTCATATGGTGTTCACAGTTCACAAAGAATGTGACAACTAACTCATCGGCAGTTACTCGTCATTAGCTTTTGAAACGACATTTCCGATGAACAGAACGTCGGGGGTGGTCGGGTTAGGTTCCAGCATATTGGACCTGTGGTCTCCTGGATAACTTTATTATCTGTGCCGTTTTGAGTTGAATCTCGTATTGCGCGCGGATAGGAAGCTGCACTGGAACCTATGTGAGTTGGGTATTGCTTGGATGCATTTGAAATGTTAAACCTCTTTAGCAAAACTTTTAAACAGACTTTTAGTTATTGGACTGTATTGAACTGGGTGACGGAACAACTCATCGGCGGATCAGGCTTGGCAGGTTTCGTAAAAAAAGAAACACTTAGCTTACCATGGTCACTAGTCACTACTGACGAATAAAAAAGCACGATTAAATGCGTTTTGATAGTTACGGTCGTACCTTATGTGCTAAATAATTAACAAGCATTTTCTTTCCTCCTACAATCCACACTGCAGTACAAGAGTCAGAGTGGGCTTTTGATTGATGGGTGAATGATGCCATCCATTTCCTATGAATGCACTGCGTTCGGTAAATACCAGAATGCCGGATACCCTACGTGTTTCGTGGTGGCGCCCCAGTGTCGCGGACGCCGTCACTGGGTCTCACCGGGGCGGGCCGACCGGCGCGTTCCTCTGCCATCTCTTCCGTCGCCGGTTCGGATGAGTGACTGCGAGCGGCTGATGCAACGGCGCTCCATTCCGTCGGCCGGTGGACGCGTGAATTGGCGACTTCGCCACGAGCGAGGTCAGCCCACGCGCCCTGACGTGCGTCGTAGTAGTGTGGTAGTCACTAGTCACCCGTCCGCATGTGGATCGTGGTGAAAAAAAAAATCAGAAACATGACGTCGGTAGTCGGGCCATGAACCTTCCTCCGATATGCTGCTACGGCAGGCACGTTTGTCACGTTCGTGCGGGAAGAAACGCTCTCCTCCCGGATCTATGTTTTCTGTCATCTCATCTCGTTCAGTGTCGCGGTTATTGGGGAGAAGCGTGCGGGATTTCATGACAGCTACATCACAAAATACCTACAGACATACATTTTGAAGGCATTATATTTTAAACTTCATCTTAACAGAGGGGCTTCTAAGCTTTTATATAGTGAATCATCCCGTATTTAAAGGTGTATTCGAGAGATGAGCGCATCCTGCAAAGTTCGCGTGACCTGAACTGAGTTCAGCGTGTACTATCCGTTTCTCAGGCGCGGGCCGTTGAAATGTCAGGCAGCGGTCGGTGATGTTTGTATCATAGCTGAAGTCACTTATCCTCGCAAGAAAAATCCTCACTAAGTCTCTCCTCACCTTCCCTGTATGGCGGTTTGGCTCCCGAGCTAATGCTGTGCCGGTCTGAATATCCTGCTCAGTCTCCCTGCGCAGCGGACGCGGCAGATGCCCGTTGCCCGCTTCAATCTCCCGTTCAGATCGCTCTGCGGTCGCCACTGGTCTGCTCTGTCTAACGGACCGGCGGTGCTAAGCCGGCCATACCTTTGTACTGTGCGGTTGACTGGGGTCAGTTCACGCTACGAGCGGTCTGTGTAGGTACTGGCCTTCTCGGGTCAGTCGCCCCGGGTGCCGGTTTTGGTCGGTCCGGTGGTGGCACTGCCCTCCTCCCTGGCCTCAGAACTCGGTGGCACGGCGCCGCGGCTCTCGTCTGCTGCGAGGCCACGGCGGGAAATTCCTGCTCCCAGAACTTGTCTCGCGTGTTCCCTTCGGAAGTTCCGCGGCGCTAATTAGTGCTCCATCGATTGCCTGTCGTATAGTCCCTGACTTGTCACTGGGCAGACGAAAAAGAGCTTTTGACTTATGAAGCTGTCAAACAAATTCAAGATGTTACAAAAGAGGATTGATAAGTTAAAGTGGTGAAATTAAGCATGTTGGATAGAAAAATGGTGTTGGTTATTGTATTCCACAACGCATGTTTATGTGGCGATCAGTACCAGCCAGCTCAGTGCTGGAATGAAACATCACGTTTTAGACTCCAGAGCCCAGGTGGACCTCGCCGAGGCTTCGACACGCAGTCACTGACTAACAGCTGGCCAATCCCATAACGTGAAACAATATCTCAGTGTCATGATGGGGATATTGCGGCTAGGTGCGGCATCTTTTTTCCTCGGCATCTAGGAGCCGCTGTTGGGGTATGTCTTTGATGTGGGTTGTATGACAGTCGGCAACTGCTGGGCTTGGTTAATAAGTATCTTGCGGGCGTTGGAGATTTTGCAGACGGATATCGCACATAAAAAAGCACGGCAGTGTTTGTCAACGCGATGCATCATGTGGTGTTATGGCGTTCGGGACGAGGGAATTATGTGATTGTGATCACTCGTAGCGTCCGTGGTACCCAATTTTGTCTATTTTCATCCACCATAGTCCATATGCGCCACCAATCACCATACAAATGACATTATTATCAAAAGAGCGCCTCCTTATTGTCGCTCACCGTTCCCATATTGGCTCTCCGTACTGACCTGGTACTGACCTGAACTGACCTGACCTGACCTGACCTGACCTGACCGGCAGGGAGAGCGTGGCCGCTGACGTTCGGTCTCGGCGCCGGCGTCGGCATGGGGTACGCCAACTGCCAGCGCAGCTTCGACGAGCCCTACCTGATCCGGGCAGACCGCGTCAAGGTGGGTGAATCGGACGCCGCCACACCGGGCTGACTGGTTACGGGGGCTGCGAACTGCGAACGGGGCGATGCCTAGATTAATTAAACGCTGGAATAGACTACTGCTTCTGAATTTGTTGGTTTTGGTTAGTTGCGGCTACTGTGATAGCTCATTGTATAGTTTGCGGCTTTGGGTCGTTAGGTCATATTTATCGCCTCATCTTTCTTTTCTTCTACCTATAATTTATTAAAGAAATCCATAGGAATCAGTAATCTGTTCACTCTATCACGCCTCGTCTCCAGCACATCAACATCTGATGTTCAGGACCGTTGAAGATGTTGAATTTCTTGTGAACTTTGGGAAAGCAGATGCCTTTGGCTGTTTGATGTTGAATTTCGATTTAAACTTGGAATACCAGCTCCATGCAAATGCGTATGATATTTGCAAATATAGTTTCCATATAGATGTTTGGTGACGACTTTCAAGATGAGCTTCGCAGTAGGCATCTCTATTCACACTTGCCTTGTGTTTGGTTCTGACTTCCTGATTTTGCGTCTGATAGCGTGCTTTGAATGTAAACTGTAGGGCGTAGGCGCAATACTTATCGTCAGTGTAACTTCAAGCATGTGCCTCTCGGAGTGGGGATAGGTAAACCTTGAAGGCATTTCAATCACGACGTCAATTTGTTGACATTGCAGCGCCCGTGAGGGGAAAACTTCATGCAGCCTGCTTAGCTGGGTGCTCGCTGATAGGAAAGGGTTGCTTTCTATTTGGAGTGAAAGAGAGTTCCATATATAGGGACTTTCCACTTATGGAATGTGTCATTTAACTATTTAAATGCCTCGTTTAGCTACTTACCAAAGTGGGTAACATTCGGAGCATGTCCGTGGCAGATGAGAGGAGCGTTTTGATCCTCGATCTCCACCTCGTATGGTGGCTCACTTCGAACGCTTCCCATTTCCACGAACCGTTCGGAAATGTCCTCCTGCCTGTCAGCAACATCAATGACTCAGAATCGCGTGTTTTTGTCGGAGACATTGCCGCCGGGTTTCTACAACTGCGTACTTTTATCCCTGAACTTGTAGGTGACGCGGTTGGCTCGTCCGTAACGTATCTCGTGACCGTGCAAGCGGAAGCGACATAGCCTGCTAGTCGCCAGCCTTTTGCACTCACGACTTCACGGATCGGAAAGTCCGAGATTCAGGAACCCTCTTTTATCTATGTTCACGGCCGAGTATGTGTCGACAGCTTCCTGCGCTCGCCGCTCGCGCCGTTGGGGAGCGTGCTCGAATGCCCGGGTTTCCCGCCGGAGCTGACGAGCTCTGTCACAGGGGGATCCCTGAGCCAAACACCAGCCGTGCAGACGCCCGGCCGTCTGCATGACTGGGACGGTGAACATTCGGCCGTACGGGGGCGGCAATCCCCTCCCTCCTGAGGTCATCGCCGGCCGCGCTCACAGCGGGGTCGGGAGCGCCCGGCAGCGTGTGAGATGGATGGATCACTACCGAGTCGTTCTCCCCGCTCCGGCGGCTGGTCTGACCAGCGGGCGCGGCTCAGAGGACTGGTCATAAACGGTACATATCCACGGGTCTGACCCGCACTATCTGCTCTGGTATACGTCACTCAGGGAATATACCGACAGAGGAGTCCCCAGCGCCGAGTCAGGTGCTACAAATAGGATTTGTCGGCGGAAAGGCTACCCTATGTTCTAGTAATCTTGGGCTACGCTAGCTTTTGATTCATTAACTATTTTGTGCTGGTAGTGTGTCATTGTGAGTCATGCAGCTTGGGCTATGCTGCCTGTCTGGTAGGACGCGGGGGATTGCGTTTAGGTTTATTAGAAGCATTGACGAAGGGTCATGACCGGTCTTCTGGTATCCTGGCTCTGACGACTAATTAGGTGTAACACAGTGCTTTGACGTTCCGTTACTTTACTTTCGACGAGCCTTCCTTTGATCTCTTCAGCGTCTTGTTTTTGTTTTGAGCTTATGCCCTTGTTCAGTGAATTGTGAGACGTGTTCATTGTTGAAGTGTACGAGCCATTGCTTTTGCTGTCCCGCTGAAAATCGAATAGCTCTTGGAGGTGTTATAAGATCTCGTCGATCGACGGTACTTAACCAGAATAAGTCTTATGACTCAAATATTCATTTGTCAGCTGTCACCAATGTATGTTGCATAATCATCTAGCCGTTGTGACCAGCGTTCGCAGGGATTTTTTTCCTGACCAAACCCGTAGTGTACACCTTTTCCGTCTGTGTTGTGGTGTTATATAAGACCCCTTGTTCCTGGCACGTGGGGTGAGTTGTGCTTACCATACTAGCATGGTCACTGGATTAGCATAGTTCGTGAGAGATAAAAAAATCGGAACCTCCGTTTGAGCGTCAGCCATATATGCTCAGCGGGAACTCTTTATAACGATGCGACACATCGACCCCTCCCCATGGCGTCCCGTTCCCGATGACGCCAGTATGAAATAATTGGATGGCACTCAAGCGGATGTTATTCCAAGGACCGGTTCTTTTCGCTCGTGCGACACGGCGCACCTAAGAACATGCAGCGGGTGCATCAGGCATACCGTTCGCACGGCTGCCGCAGCCCGTACTTCAGCGTACTTTATTTCATTTTTTATGACGGTTTGCTTAAGGTGATTGTGGAATGGAATCGTAGTAATATTATCCTGTTGAATGATGGAATGTTGTGCTTCCCGGGGCTGTTGGTCAGATGTGTGGTGTGGCCCTGTTCTGTATCTGGAGTAGCGTATACCGTCCACCGGTGTCGTATCCGGCCCACCGTCTGTCTGGTGTACGGCCCTCCAGCAAAAGAGTGGTTGGTTAGCCTATGTGCTTTTGGTGTAATAACTTTGAATGACAGAGACACTCCTGTAAAATGACTCAATAGAAATGAGAGGAGGGTTCGTGCACACATTTCGGCAATGGTTTTCAACAGCCTTTAGACGTATTCATCAATGCAGATCGCTTATTGTGATGTTATCAACCAACCACTAAATACCTGGAGGGCCGTACCATGGTGCCCAATTCTCTGGCTTGTCGTTATCCAGTCACAGTGTCTGATGCCTTTCATCTTGTTCGGCCGTCGGTTGTCGTGCCGATGGTAGTTCCACATCGTAATGCGCTGGCTCTTTGTGGTAGGTCGACATACATACATTTGTGAAAATGCATATAGACCTATTTTACATACACGCGGCGCCTGGGAGAACTCTAGGTTATTCATTCATTCATTCATATTTATTTTGCACCAAACCTTGGCAAATTCCCAACAGCTGATAACAAACAATCATCAGAAATGACAAAACCGTCATGTGTCAGCACGGAGCTTAGGTCACAGGGGTCACGGCCCCCGGTGGGACGTAGCAGGTCAGCAGTCGTAGGCGACGCGAAGCTTGGCTGTTGTCCCTCATCAAGAAGCGGATGTGACACCAAACCAGTATTATATAAGTATATATGTTACAGGCAAAGTGAAAACTCTGGCATTTTGCAAAATGCCTAGGCAATTTGCAAAATGCCTGACCCGCCAGGCATTTTGCAAAATGCCCAGGCAGTTTGCAAACTGCCTGACCCACCAGGCATTTTGCAAACTGCCTAGGCATTTTACAAAATGCCTGACCCGCCAGGCATTTTGCAAAATGCCTGGGTTTCCATAGTTATTCCACCGTTTTTGTTGACAATAGGCGTTGATCATAACCGTTCCACTGCGACTGACCCCACAACACATTTCACATGTGTTGTGGGCACATGTGTGATGTGACACATTCCACGGTCACGAATACAGGGTGTCGCGAAATTGTTGCGGGATGTTGTACTTGTGTCCCGAAATGTATTGCATCGTAGTTGCGTCAGTGTTCTCCAGCACCTCGCTGACAAGTTATCAGCGGCCACATGGTCTGTCCCCGCGGCACCTGGTGAAGCTCAAATAGGTCTCTGTAGCCCATCATGCCCCAAACGAGAATCCGGTAGAATCGGTTAGTGACTAAGAAGAGCTCTAATAGCCGTTTTCACGACGGGCTATCCGGCGAGTGCACCTAATTTGACGAAATCTGCACCTAATCTCTTTTACAGCAAATATCTTTATTTTACGAATTTATTTGTGTTTTTACTGATGATGCTCGCTGAATATGACAAAGGAGGCATATAAGCAATTAGAACAACCCTAGCTGATAGCTACTAAGAGACACACTGAACCTAATTTGACCAAATATGCACCTAATCTGCACCAGATATGAACCAAATGTGTACCAGATGGCCGTTGTGAAAACGGCTAATATCGCCTCACGGCCTCATCATTGAAAAGTCTGAATCTCTAGTCCTGAATGGTCGAGATTTGGTGGGTTTTGTCGAAATCCAGCTGCATCACTTATGGATGACGGTAAGTCAGGGTTGCAGCCAGAGGTTGAGCGGCTTCAGCTTCAGGGTAAAATCTTCAGATACCGGGGGATGGCCGATTTAGATGCCGAGTGCCCTGGTCGAGATGCCCTGTTTCCAGACCCGTTCAAATTACATCCATTCAGCACTCAGATAGGGGCATCGAGGGACAAGACCGCGCCAACCGCGTATCAAGTTCGTGACACTCTGTATACTATAAGTATCTGTATACTATATACTATAGGTCACCGGTCAGTCTGGAATAGTGATGTCAATTACGGAAAATCGTGATACCGATACCAAACCAAATGCCAACAATATCCATTGAAAAATACCGAAACCAAACCGACTTGGGAATATGAGGAAAATACCAACTGTTTACCAAATTCTCAGCCTCTTTTACATTAGTGAGGATTCATAATACCAACAAAATACCAAATGCACTCGCCTTGAAATATCAAATGCCAAGTTGGTATCGGTTTGGTATCGGTATACCAAAAAGTTGGTATCCGATTGACATCTCTACTGTATACCTACGTCTTGCGTCAATTCTGTCGAGATGGAGCCAACGCTGAATGGACTTGAGCGACCGTCTCCGTACCTTTCGTATATGCGGAGTTGTAGCCGTGTGTATAAAAGCTG